AAATTCCAAATAATCATAATGCTCCTGCTCCCAGTGAACTTGATAAAATTAGCATTTTTTATTACTTGCGAGATTATATTCCATCACAGAAAATAAAAAACAACACTGCTACAGAAAAAGTGATAAAAACAGAGCAAGATACTAAAGGTCATCTTAAATTATGTATCAACTATACATAATTGTTGCAACTGTGTATAAATTGCTATTTTGCTTTGACTTAGTCATATCCATATGCAATTATAGCAATTGCTGTGCATATTATCAAATTACTCCAGAAATCTTGTTGGTAATCTTTTACTCTTTTCAGGTAATGAAGGTGAGATACTCAAGAAAACAAAAATGTTAAGAAAGAAGCTAGCAGGGAAGATGGATACACAGTAGTAAGTTATCAGGATTTATATGCATCCCATTGAAGATGAGAATGAAGTATATTTACATGCTAAACGACTGAGGTGGCATGATTTCATCACTGACAACAACTACTTTGGGTGGAGTTCTTAGGAAGCCATTTTCATCAGCGTGTACTTTTTTGAGAATCACATTAACACTTCACAGCACAGTACCATGTGGAGCTACTTGAAACATTTCTAAATGAAATGGTGCATGCAAGACATTTTTAGAAAAGCTGGAGTGTAAATTATCTGCAGTAAAATCCTTGCAGATTATAGTTTGTTTGTATTTAAACACGTTATTGTATTTTAAACACGTTAGCTCAGACTCAGCAAACACAAAATGGCCACACAAAACGGGAACAATGTATTTTAATCAAGAATAGTATGTCACACCTGAGTCAGAGTGGGCAATACCTGCCCAAAGAGACTAAGGAGCCTCCTATGCTTCACAAGCAAAGAAAAATCGACCATGCATAGCTGCATCCCAGAAAGTATTTCCTCTTTGGCCAAAAGCCACAAATGTAAGTATATTGCATTTTTTCTGGATGTCAGGGGGCACCACTGCTTTCCATAAGAGAGCTGTGAATTATTATGGTACTTCTGAATGCCTTGGTAAAGCACACCCGGGCAGTACTACAGGCACACAGCGTGGGTTAGCATCAGTATGAGCCGTAGATGCACCACGACAGTAAGAGCTTACAAACGGCGCCCCGCTTGCTTGCTTGCTTTGCCCGGAACGACACGGGTACCAAGCTACCAACAGGAGATGAAGCAGAGCAGGGCACCCGTGGGCAGCAAGGAGTCTGAGCGCCGGATATGCAGCTCGGAGCGGCTAACTTGTCGGTCGATCAGCATATGTAAATAAGCCGCATCCTGCCGCCCAATCAGGAAATAAGAAGAGGGGAGCGCGGTGGCCCATTGGCGGACAGTCCATGGTGAGATGGCGTGTTCTTCGCTCCTGATCGAGTCTCGAGCTATACAGCGTTCACCGGGTGGTTGCCCCGGCGACGCAGCGAGTGACGCGGCGCGGGCTGGGCGTGCTGGGCCTTCGCCATTGGCTGCGCGATCGGGCGAGCGCGGGGGGTGGGCTGGCGGCCGGTGTC